TTCTTACGATCAAGAAGATGAAACGACTTTGGATTATAACACAGCAGATAACGAATATGATGAATGCGAGGAAGAGTCGGATACACAAACCGAAGATGCAGAATATGAGGAAAACAATGATCAAAAATCGGTATTCGAATCGTTTTCTTTATCGTACATGCAACGAGCACTTGGTTATTACGATGCAATTAATCCAAAAACAGGAAAGCGTACCCATACTTGGAAAAGTGTCCAACACACATTCAAAAGAATTCCTCATCAATCATACATGGCACGTTTCCGTGAATATGTTGAAAAAAGGGGAACTAACAAAGAAAAACTTGATTCATTGGAAAATCGTGTCTACAGTAGTTTTGAGCGAGGTAGAGATCTTTTGTGTCCAGTTCACGACATAGATCTTAAAAGATGGGCTATACGAGAAAGTAGAATTATTAAATTACAAAACTTCGTAGGGTCGGATAAATGGATTCTAAATTTCAAACGAAAACACAATATTTGCTCAAGAAAAATAACCAAGGCAAGAAAATTTTATATTATTTAAATAAATCTATAGTTATGCATTCATATATATTTTTTTATCAGGTAGTTACGAAACGTGAATTGATGAATGAAGATGAAATACATGAATCAGCTGAACGATTCGTTGCTGAAGTAAAAGCATTATCATCTCATTACAATGAAGATTCTATACTGAATACAGATCAGCTAGGTCTTGAGCTGGAAGTCCCATCTACTCGGACTCTATCTTTTCAAGGTGAAAAGACGACGCTTGCTACAGTCCGTTCAATAAGCAACACCACTCACAGTTATACTATTCAGCCCATAATAAGCATGAGCGGAAAGATTGTCGGTCCTGTGTATGTATGTCTTAAAGAAGTTAATGGTTGGATGAGCGAGAACATTAGAGCAAATCTTCCGCAGATGAAGAATGTCGTAGTCACTTGCAGTGCATCCGGTAAGCTGACTACGTCGTTAGTTGAATACTGGCGCGATATGTGTCTCATTCCATTCTTACCATCACGCAAAACACTACTTCTTTCTGATAGTTGGCCTGATCAAACAGATGGTAAAGGAATTTATGAACCCATAAAAGGCTACACACGATTGGAGATTCCTTGAAAGACAACTTCTAGAATTCAACTGATAGATATGTTCTTTAATCGGCAATGTAAAGTGATTGTTCGTAAAGCGTACGAAAGAATTCTTCTCGATGATATCGATATTCAACTTGCTCAAAGAAATAATATCATTCGCTTACAGTCATTGATACATAATCAATTGTCATCGCCAGTCTTTTTTCGCATGATACGATATGCATGGTTCAAGTGTGAATATATCAATACTGATCCTCGACCTTTTCAAACGGTTACGGAAGTACGCTTCAAATTCAAGCAAGACCACTGTGACACACCTTCATGCAAAGAATTTGCATTCATTCAATGCAGTTATTGTGATAAAATATTATGTTTTCAACATTTCTTTTATTAATTATCATGCTCATGGTATATGATTGAGCTCAATACGTATCGCGTTTTGTTCGAACTTTTTAGCGATTTCATTTGTTTTTTATCTGATTTTCATGCAGATACACAAGAAGAAAAGAAATTAAAGTATATATATATGAATCTGTAACCAAAATTGATGAGAAAAAAGTGAAAACATCTGTATTTTTTAATATAATAGTACTCCTTTCCTAATTAATTGATAAAATATATGAAAAACAATAAAATTGAGAAGAAAAGTGTGAAAATCTTCTTGTTTATTGTACTTTTAATGTGTCACATTGAGAACTTCATATGACTAAAATCACAGCTTGAAGCAAAAGTAGGGTAAATTTCAATCAAATATATGTCATCTCGACTAACAAAAATAATGTTCACGTAACAGTAAAATTCGTATAAGTTTTCATCACTTCAACATTTCGTTAACCATGAAGGAAGCAACTTGGGTCCGAACTAATTTAGGGTATATCATTGCTAACTGCGCTCTATCTAATTATCACATTCTCGGTCGAAAAGCTTTTTAGCACTTGGGAATGTTCCCTCGTGAGTCCACATCAGGTCATACAATTCACAATAATACTTCTCAATTATGATTATAGTTTTTAATTCACTTCTGGTCATAAGATATCAATTAATGCTTCTCAACTATGACTGCTAGAGCTTAATTCAAATTGTATCACGAAATGCGAAATAGTTTTTTCACTGATACGATGATTACGTTTTTAGTTCGCTTCGAGTCGTGAAATCTGAAATAATAGATGTATCAATATGATGATTATGTTGTACTTATCGGTGAGTAATGAAACGATAAATTGTGTAGGCGATTTTTTTCTGTATATGCGCATCGATTAAGCTGCTCGAACAGAAAGATAGAGAATAAGCAAAAAAATAGTAGATATGAGTAGAGAAAAGGTTGATCGGAGAAAAATATAAGTGTCAAAAATCTGTTCGTGAAAAAAAATCAACCTACGTTTTTTCAACTTCATTCGCTGATGCTTGATATATACGAATCAATGCACAACGATGAATCAGATTTTTGGACGTATATAAAGGCATACTAATGCTTTAGTATTTCACACTTCAACAGCATCTCCTTAATCAAGTATTATTCTCATCTTGGTTACTGAAGTTTTTGCACTAGTAGAAATAACCAAGGTATATATTTTGATTCTGCCTTTGTTATATGCGTGCTTCAGTTGTACATAATGTAGTATGTAGATCGATCGAAAAAGAATGGTAGAGGTGTTGTATTTCCATAAATAAGGCTTGAAGAAATTGTTTTGATTCCATAGAGTGATAGCAGAAAGGCTGCCCGTTGTTATGTTCTATTTGATTACTGTTCAACTAATATCATATTAATAAAACACGATAAGAAATGTTTTTGTGTATGATTTAACGACAACATTAAATCATAATATCATCCATGTGTATTCTTTTTGTTTTTTCTCTTCTCTTTTCTTTCACCTTTTCTCGTGTTTTATAATGCTTAGCCATGCATACACAGACATGCATATTAAGGTGCTTGCCTTGTTTGTTTTGTATGTATGTTTCTTTTCTTGTTTATTTTCAAAATAGATAAAAAGCAAGAAGTTAAGTTATACTTTTATTCTGTTCACAAACAAATGATTCGATAAATGGATCCAACGAATCCAGTTGTTTGTGAACAACTATAGTGACTGTTGTAAACGTGTGATGAGATAAAAACTTCCTGAACCTGTTTCTATATTTTTTTCTGTTCTACCATTGTTATTATTTTTTTTACATTCTAACACGCTTGAAGAACACAGCATTGGTAGAGTCGAGAAAGAAAGGTGAAAAGAAAGAGAGGAGAGGAAGAAAAGAAAAAACAGAAAGAGAATACACATGTATGACAATAGCATGTGACATTGGAATTTTAACGAAAATAAAAATGTAAACATTTTACATTTTTACACTTTCACAATGCATAAAAGTTTCCGAACAATTAAATATCTGTTCGAAAGCCCAACACTTCGTGAATGCGTTTCATATACACTTTTCGCGATTTTGTTGTCGTGGCAATTTCATCACGTGTTTACACTTTTTCCTTTTTCTTCATTTCATCAGGATGAAAGATTAAAAAAACAGAACAATCTATTTCATTTAAAATTTAATAAATTGTAAATTAAGTTGTAAAAAACTTATAGATGTAATGAGTTACGAGACAAATTATATATGAAAAAAGATAAAAACGATGAAAAGTTATGTTTATTTTTATATTTAAACTATAAAACAAATATTTTTAATTCATTTCAGTTTTAATTTACTCCTAAGTTAATTTACGCATAAACCAAGTCCAAACTGAGTAAAAATTGACATCTCTGAAATTATGAACAATATTCATATTTCAAATAAATATTAATCATCATTATTTATGTTTATTTTTAAATATGAATGATGCTAATTTCTCGTTAAAAAATATAGATAATGAACAATATGTTTGTCGATCTAAATTCTTAATACTAATACTATACATCTATTATAAATTTAAATTACTGCTAATGTAATCCTGACATAAGAGAAGCCGCAAGTAAAAATAAATTGACACTTCTATCTTTGTCCAAAAAAATTTGTATTCAAAAATACATAAAGGTAATTTCTTTTTTATATTTCATATTAAAAACTCAGGACGAATTCTCATAATTTATAGTTATATTACATATAAATCATGGCAACTTCCTATATATGAAACCTGCAATTTGAATTCAAGTATTGAATAGTTAAGGTTCAACTATTCAATTATTAATTTCAGGAATAGTTGAACTTCAAGTATTCAATAATTGAATACGGATGTGGGTGTGAGACTTCTCGGGATGTCGGTACCCACACCTACACCCACACCCTCATTACATCTTTTTAATTATCTTGAACGTTCTTCTATCGAACATTTCTTTCAATTAAGCTATTCATCGCGTAAATATGTTGAAACTGAAGAGTTTTTCATTGTAACTTCTGTCATATTGATCGATTCTACAGTATTGAAATATGATTAATATTTCATCGGGTCTAATCAACAGTCATGATCAGCTTTTTCTTTGTGGATAGATGATCATCATATTGCTGTCAACACTCACTACTTCAGATAAATATTGACTGTGTTCTGTTTTATCTGAAAGTTGGAAAAAATCAACTACTGACACTCAATAAACTTCGCAGTTTGGGTGTGTGGGGTGTAGGTGTTCGTCAATACATGAGTTACACCCATACGCACACTCACCCACATCCACCCACACCCATACTGCACTGCTGTTGTTGTTTTCCTGTAAACTTTCACATCTGTGTTTTAACCTTCACCCGATAAGAGATAATCAGACGCTTCGCAATATACGTATAGATAGACCTTATAGCCCTACCCCTTATACCTTTATACGCTTATAGTCTTACTTCCCTATAGTCTTATTCGACCTTTAGCCTTTGATCCGGCACAGAGACACACGTAGACACTGAACATTATATATATATATGTATGGGTTGTTATTATCAAGCAGCTCTTAAATTAGTTATTCTAGGTGATAAATGTTTGTTATGCTTTTCTAATTCACAATATTCATTTGAACCTAGAATATCTGCTGTACGTATTCGAACAGCTGTATTTGTTGACGGTCGATTTTCACGTGTTTGAATATTTCTATCAAGTAATCGAATAACTGAGCGGTCACTGTCAAAACCAAAGAAATAAGAAAACTTGATGATGATGACCACAAGTGAGGAAAAAGCATTTAAAGCTGTTTGTGTTTTGACTAAAATTATCATGAATAGGATTGCTATCGACAACCGGTATACTAAATGTAATACTACTGAAACAAATATTGATTTTGAAACTGAAATAAGTACTATAGAATACTATTGTGACTTTGGCTTTTTGAAATATAATGCGTTTTGTTTTTATCAACATTAGTTTTGGATGACCAGTTATAACCGTAAAGAGAAATAATTTTGAATATCTTCATTTGATCCCTTTTCGAAAAGATATTTTTTTATTTACAATAGTATATCAGAATTGAAAATAGTACGTGCTCATGCATGAAGATGATATTACCTAGTATGCATTATATATACTACTTTTACTATCCGAATTTCAAATACAATTTTTAAAATTTTATCTCTGTGATTATCTAATTAAGAGCCCCCATTACCAACAAACTTTTTTGTCATCGAATTTCAATCAAAATTTCAGAGAATGTTAGTCTTGACTAGGGTAGCTTGTGGTTACAATACCTCCCAGAATCTACAAGACATTGAAGGATTATAGTCAATTCATTGGTCGAAAATATCCTTTACGCGGGTAAGGTTGAGGGTGGGTGTGGGAGTGGATGAAGAGAAGACTAACAACCACGCCCACCCCATCCTAGATCCTGTTGAAGTTGTAGTCATCGATGTGATTTAATAATTCTTTTCGGAAAGAAAATCAAACAGAGGCGTATCTTCATCGATATACACAGAAGAATTGGCGGACCAACAATATCGACAAAAACTAGAGAGAGAAAAAAAATATGTCAACTATTTTATATATGGTTTTGGGATGTGATTGTTAATAAGATCAGATGAATTTCAAAAAGGTAGATGCAAGTTAAAGTTAGTCTGTTTCGTAAATTTTTTGGTTTATGATCGACTCAACACTGTCAATTATCTTGTTCTCCATCTCTTTTTTAATTTCTTTTCGAATAAATTTTTACTAGAGCTTACGCTGTAAAGATGAAAAACAATTCATGTCGCTGTACTTTATTGGGATCTAACAGCGTCATCCTTATTCTTTGTTTAGTTTTTATTTGAACTAGCATGGTATGAAATGAAAGTGTACTTGTTCTTTTTGGTAAAGATAATAAGTTATGTATGTGCCAAATGGATCATTCGCATAGATCGTGCGAAAGTTACTCACTGTACATATATTTTCTTCTCTTTTTTTTTTCTTTGCAAAAAACATGATGCGCTTGCACAACGTACATATGAGTAATTGTGTCATTTGCGCAAAAATTTCAGTAAGTAATCGATCAATGGTACACTTTGTTGACTGTTAACAAGGATGTTTTTTTCTCATTCGAGAGAATAACATTATAGACAATACTGAGATGTAGCGAAATAGAATCAATATGTGCCGTTGACGATACTATAGAGAAGGCACACTTTGTGAGATCTGTAGGGTGTGGATGTGTTAGCCTTCTGTTTAACCATACCAATAATCGAATCTACACTCCATACCTATCCGATACTAATTTACGATGACGAGGCATTTTCGTGTAAATAGTTTCTTGTTTTTTTTTGCTTGTCAACAGTATTGGTATGTCAAATTGGCTATCGATAAATGAGAGACAAATATATTTACATGTATAACTCATTACAAGTTTGTTTTTTGTTTCATTCTTTCTTCTATCAAACATCAAAAGTGATTAAGCGAACCGTAAACATAACTTCACACGTGTTATCGAATAAAATAACCAACTGGTTCTTGTAATTCAGCTTTCAATATATTATATTTTATTCAGAACTTTGTACAGTGTGACTTCAATAGGTAAAGTTATAAAATCTTGAAATGAAAATGTCGACAATTAAAAGCCCTTACAAATCCTAGACAAAATAATTACTTTTCCAAAGTTTTGATGCCTGAAATAAGTTAGAAAACGCATTCACACAACAACTGAGTGATGACGAATGCGAGATCTCTAGTTCAATGGGAGTCAAATTTTCGATATTTTGAGTTGATCATCATAAAGGCTCCTTCATTTTGATATGTTAAATATGAATTAAAATATAGACATTTTGTCGTAATCTGTCATACGATAAGACGTTGAACAGGATGATTAAATTTTCGAGATTTTCCTGCCTAATTGAAATAGTACTTATTGATTGACTGTTCACAATATACTCATACATTCTTATAGATCATTGAAACATGGATACACTAGATACATCATTATCTACGCATCATCAAAGTCGAGTCGGTACTACGAATCGAAAATCATCGTCAATCAATCGTCAATTTCTTATCAATTTAAGGAGGTACGCATCTGTAACAAGACTCATTCATATTTCTTGGTTTGTGTATATTGATTCAGACGAAGCCGAGAAATATTTAAGGCAAATAATACATTTTTACATCAACGCAGTTCGTAAGTAATTTAAATCTTGGATGAGACTTGTGTCCTTCTTTTATTCTACTCACGCTTGTATATATGAGTGAATTGCAACTTTTTGGCATAGTTAGCGCGAAAAAATGAAAATAGATCTAAACAATTGTTGTGCAGTGTATTTTATTATACTCTATGCCTATGTTACATAACAAAAGTTTCCCAACACTTCATAACATATTAGCTGAGATGCAACTTACTTCAACGTAAATACACCATATAAAACGTTAATTTAATGAAAAATGCCCTTTTACATTGCATTATACTTCCTTAATCTCTTCATAACAGAAACATAAGAACCATTCACGAGTTATTTACAAAATGTTTTTCAAAAATGTTCTCCTACAACGTGAGCGAGTATCGATTTTATAAAAAAAGATCATTAAGACAAAATGATTTTTTATTAGTTATATATTAATCAAGTTCTTCACCTTTTGAATACTTTTGTTTTCCTTCAACTTGTGTGCCTTAGAAGAAAATTGAAGTAGAGTGTCCTTCTACACAAAATCATGAAGTGTATTCATAGAATGTCGTAGACGAAAGACCATAGAAAGAAAAGAATACAAGCGACGAGGATATATATTTCTACAGAAGATAGCACGCTCTACAAAATAGACTTTTTCATTATCTTGTTTGTCTTTTCCTTCGATGTTTCAAAAATTTTGCTTTTTTAGTACATCTTACTATAAAATACGATTTTTTTATACTATACAGTTTATAAATCAGCGACAGAGTGAACTAAAGAGCTGAAATTTGGTATGGCAGTGGGGCACTCAGAGACCTATAACCTACAAAAAAATTGCCAAAGTCGATTAATGGAAACAAAAATTATTTGCCAAATACAACTAGAATCTCAGTTACGTCAAAAAAATTGCAATTCACTCATGTACTAACGTACAGCTTCTTTTTCTTCCATTTTGCATGCGATTTATGATTTTCTCTCGGACGATTAATTTACTAGGGATACCATCGATATGCGAGATCTATCCCATCAGCAGATACTCGAAGCTGAAAGACAAAAAGTTTCTATGTATCTTTCACTTCAAAATCGCATTATCATTAATATAAGTGGAGTTCGCTTTGAGACATATAAGTCTACTCTGGAAGCCTATCCAAATACGTTGTTAGGCAATGCAGAGCGACGCAAATATTATTATGATAATATTCTTGATGAATATTTCTTTGATCGTCATCGAGGATGTTTTGAAGCTATTCTCTATTATTATCAATCGAAGGGTCGATTACGTAGACCAAATTTGGTACCACTCGATACATTTCTTGAAGAAATCACATTTTTTGATTTGGGTCAAGATGCTTTTGCTCAAGTGCGCAAAGATGAAAATTTGAAAGAGGTTGAAAAAACTCAATTACCTCGAAATCGTTGCCGTCGGTATATTTGGGCTACCATGGAATATCCGGAATTTTCATTCATCGCCAAACTGTTTAATATTCTTTCGTTAATTATTATTCTCATCTCTACGATTACCTTGGCACTCGAATCTTTGCCACAGTACTCACACTTATCGGGCGACTCATGTAAAAAAGAATATAAGCAGAATAAAATCGGAACAAACAATGACTCGATGAATTCTAGCAACGTTCAATCGGACAAACACATATGTCTTTCCTATTTTTCATCACCATTTCTTGGAATCCAGACGATTTGTATGGGATTTTTTACTCTTGAACTGATTCTACGTCTACTCAGTACACCATCGTTATCAAAGCATTTTAAGAGTTTTATGAACTGGATCGATATAATTTCTGTCATTCCATTCTATATCAAAATAATCATAAATCTTGTCGATCAATTAGGCGGTCATAATATTAGCATTTATAATAGTTTTGCATTATTGCGCGTTCTTCGATGTGCTCGTATATTTAAATTTTATCGAGTTTTTAAAAATATCAAAACCATGCGTGTTCTTGTCGTGACCGTAAACGAATCGATGCCCGATTTCCTAGTTTTAGCAGTCACATTGATGCTAATGGCCTTTCTCTTTGGTACAGCTGTCTACCTCATCGAGGGTACAAATGATAATTCGGCTTTGGACTCCATACCGAAAGCTACCTATTGGGGTATTGTGACACTCACTAGTGTTGGGTAAGAACGCCTGTTTTCATAGAAAGTGTAGTTCGACAACAAGTAGAAAAACAAGAAAGGCAGAGAACGATTATTTTGTTTTCTTTTGCATATTTAGCTATGGTGATATAGTGCCGGTCACAGCTCTCGGACGTCTGACTGCTATTATATGTGCATTGAGTGGTGTGGGAACTATTGGTATGCTTGTCTCAGTTCTGGTCGACCGATATCAACGAGTATACACGCGTAAACGCTACATTAAACCTGAGCAAATTGACTTCAACAATCACTCCGATGAAGAAAATGAGGATCTAGAAATGGGACATGGAAAC